GTAGCGATCGGGATTTATTTTTTAATTATGCGTTTTCATTCCTATATTTTTTCTAGAAAAAAATGAAAGGAAAAGTATCAATTCTATTTAAATATTCCGAATTATGTTAGATTTCGGCTACATGTAAACGTCAGTTTGAGTTTGAATAGGAGGTGATCATGAATTTTTATAAAAATGTAAATATAAAAGGCAATAGAGAATATTATTTTGGGAAAAAAATCATCAAATTAACGTGGTTCTATGGTGTAGCGGTTAGCACTTTGGACTTTGAATCCAGCGACCCCAGTTCAAATCTGGGTAGAACCTGAATCATTTTTTTTCTTATATTTTAGAACGGAAAAAAGAAAAACTTCTATTTATTGTTTTAGGTATTTCTTGATCTATCCAAACAATTATTTTCTCCTTTATTGGATATTCGTTCAATTTATTCATCATTGTCATCGCTTATCGATGATATTCTCAAACATATTATTTTTCATAGGTAATATCAATCCTATGAAATAAAAACGAAATTTTCAAATATTTTGTTATCTTTAGAACATGGATTACAGCTTATCGTGATTATATACAATCTTTATCATCAAAGAAAACGATTTCTTGTCCTGTATCACCTTTATTTACTACACTCGAAACATTTGTTATCGCAGTATGATAAAATAATCATTGATTTATAATTTCAAAAAAAAAATTAATTTCTTTTTTGTTTTTGTTTAGGGAAATGCAAATGTTATTAGTTTTCTTCCACTTATTTTTCGTCATTGTATTAATTTAATTGAATCGTAAGTTATTTTATTGTTTAATATAATTTTATTTTCAAAATAAAAATATTTAGAGAAAAAGTGTCTGATATATTTGAATTATTAGTTCAAATGAATATATGGCTTGAACAAATTCAAAATGATAATATATATATTGATGGTATTTGTCAATTACTTCAAGTAAAAAAAAGAAAAAATATTTTTCTTTTATATTTGAAAATAAATTTTCAATTTGTGTTTTTAGATTCTTGATGAAAAACATTTAATTGATCAATTATTAAATAATTCTTTAGAAGAACGAATAACAGATTGGATGAAAGATATTTTATTTAAACGTTCTTATGAATATAAAACAGAAAATTATGCAAATTTATGTGTTATTTGTCTTTATCTACATCCAACATTAATTGAAACAAATTTATCTCAAATTGTTCAATTATTTATTGATTCTAATCGATGTCTTTCAATTTTTCTTATTGGTTATATTGATTTATATTCAAGAATGAGATCTTTAGCAAAGTTAACTAAACGTTTAACCATTGCATTTGATAAATCAATTATTCTTCCGGAAAAAGTTTTAAAACAGTAAGTTAATTCTTTCGAAATTCATTATACAGAAATATAAGATAGATCAATGTTTTTTGAATAAATCTCGATCGAAATATCATAGAGATCTGCAGTTTTCATCATTCAAGAGAGAAGATACTTTGAAGTCATATTTCTTTCAATCTACAAAAAGGTTAACATTTCTTATCTGTGATCCATTCAAGAGTTATAAAGCTTTTCCTGAGACTCCCTATTTCAACCACTTGGCCTAAGACCACCTGAAAATCACGGAGTAAGCCAAGGATGTGAGTCTTGCGATAGTTCGAAAGGAAAATAGCTTTAGGATATCGTTTTCAAAAAACATTGATCTATCTTATATTTCTGTATAATGAATTTCGAAAGAATTAACTTACTGTTTTAAAACTTTTTCCGGAAGAATAATTGATTTATCAAATGCAATGGTTAAACGTTTAGTTAACTTTGCTAAAGATCTCATTCTTGAATATAAATCAATATAACCAATAAGNAAATATTTTTCGATTGTATGAAAATAAAAACATATTCATTTTATTATAGTATTGATCGATCATGGTTTATATCAAATGAAGATCGTCTTCGATTAATTGTTCAAGCTTCTATTGAATATGCTATCGAAACTAATTCTCAGTAAATTATTCTATTTGATGAAAAGAAAACGAAGATTTCTACTATTCAGTTTTTTTTTAGTGATGATTCTCAACCGAAGAAACGACGTAAAATTGATTTTGAAGAAAATCTTGAGTACATTTTTCTATATTGTGAAATTTTAAATACTATAAAAGAATTATTTTAGTTCATTTTATGATTATTTACAAACAAAATCATGTAAAATCGATGATAAAATCATTTCAGTAAGTTTAAATAGATTATTCTCCTTGGAGGAATAATTCACTGGATGTCATACAACATCTCGTTAAATTAATTAACTTCTCACAATGTTAGAATTTTAATTACATCAAAATATACATGATGCTTAGGCTTTAGGACCTATGAAACATAAATAAGATAAAATACAAGACAGTCAGAAAATATTCATTTTGACTGAAACTTTCCCGTTAGCTTACTAACTGTAAGACCTGTTTATAGACAATATTTCAATTGTATCTATTTATATTACAACTTAACTTTTGACTTCGTACTATTACAGAAAACAAAAATCAATACATGTCATCTTATCAATAATTTAAGTGTAATTTTAATAAATCCGGGTGAAATAGAATTAGTCTTGATGAGTGTCGCAAGTCTCTGTGATGAAAAAAAAATCGAGTACACATCTTCCAAAAATTCAACAATGACTCAAATCTAAGTCAGATGTTAAAAAGCAAGTAAAATAACTTTAACTTCAGAAGAGCCTCGTATGATGACAAATGCTTTCAATAGAGTTCGAAATATCCGTGATGCGGGTCCAAATTTTTACTTCTATACTTCAAAATTCCTTTTAGATTGTGTTTAATAAAAACTTCTACTAAATTTATTTAGAAAGAACTTAATTTAAATACAGTTTTCTTTGTAACATAAATTTTTGTTGTTTTAGTTATTTTCTTCGATTAATTTTGATAGTATTAAAACATCTGGAATATTAGTATCAATTGGTTGGCTTGCATTAAATATTTCCCCCAGATCTTTAGAATCAATGCAAATTCTTCTTGATATAATAGATTCATCAAAAATCTTACCATTACTATTTATTAGTCATTTATTAGATTTTACTTTAAATACAGATAATGAAAAAATGATTGATCAACTTTTAATTATTATATCAAATAATTTAAATTATCAAACTATTTTAAAAATAAAAACAAATAAAATTCTTGATGAAATGAAAACAAATGAAGATTATCAAAATATTCGTTTATTAGAAAAATATCTTTTATTATTTTATTATAGTCGTTCTTTAATATCTTCAAATGATCTTTGTTTAATAATTGATCGTTTATTAAATTCATCATCACATTCATCTATATCATATTCATCATTAGATACACGTTATATTTTAGCTATGATTATATTAAATTGTTTATCATCATATGATAAATATTTAAAATTTCTTCAACAAACATGGAAATCTATTGTTAGAGAAATAAATGAAAATAATCATTTAAAACAAGTTGTTATTGTTTATGCTAAACAATGGAAATATGTTTTAAAATTTAATTCAACATTAGATGATATCAATGCATTAGTTAAATGTTTAAATGATCAATATGAATTAATATCAAATGTTATACAATCAATTGATCAAAATCAATTTCAACAATGGATAGAAAATATAATTCAAAATATTGTTAATAATTTTTTTATTATTGTTTTATTATTTTATTGTTTTTTTTTTTTTTATTTTAGAAAATTCCGTTAGAAGATCAAGAAGAAGATATTAATAATTGCCGTCAAGCATTTCAATTATTACAAACATTAAGTCATTGTTCATTAAATAAAGAAAATAATCTTTATTTATTGACGATAATTAATTCTGTAAGAAGACTTTGTTATATTTGATATGGTATTTTCTAGATCCGAAAAGCTATTTTTTAATAATGCTATTTTAGAAAGTTATACTAACTTTCTTAAAAAAGTTAAAAATATCATAGAAAAAACGAAATTTATCAAAAATTCGTCTGTTTTCGGATATTTTTAACATTTTGAGGAAAAGTCTTACAAGATGCTACGACCTCTCATTTTGTACTCTGTAAAATGACATTGTTAAAAAATAGTTTCTATGGCCTGAAAACTACCACATCCGATTTTTTAGAAACTTTGGTATAAGTTGTATTAGATAGAAAACTTCCTTCGTTATTAAAATCCATATCTGGATTTGAGCTGGTTACTTGACATTGTAGAAAAAGTAATCAAAAATATGTTGTCATTAAACTTTTTGCTCTCTTTTCAACGAACAAACACAAAAGGATAACCTCAGTGATTATTTTTATCCATGCGGATTTCTGTAGAAACAAGTGGTTTAATGGAAACACATAGATTAGATTTCGCCTAGTGAAGTATCGTTGTTTTGTATTGTACAGACATAGTTTTAAACTTTTCCACAGAATTTACTAATAGTTGTTCAATCTTATTCGAAAAGAAAAATCTGATCATATATTTGGAAATACAGAAAAATTCTGATTTCTGGCTCTATTCAGTTGTCTAATAGTGATAGAAAAGATGAGTGAATATTTTATATCATATTGCTTTTTTTAACTATAGTAAAACTCCTCATAGTAGACACTTCATGATCTGACGGAGTGCTCTTTTTTTTCTGAAGTTGAATCTCTACATAGTGGAAACTAATTGGAAGTTTAGAAAGAATAGTTTAACTTGATAGTCGACAATTAATAGCTACTTATTTTGTTGACATAGGATTTCCCACTACTATTTTCAACAAGTGGAATACTAATGAACATTTGAGGAAACTACGTAATTGGGAATAGATAGAATTCCTGACGAAGAAAATGCCAATTTTGTAAAATCTTCATTTTGTTTTTCATATTCATTCAATAGCCATTAAGGGTACCCCCCCCCCTCTTTTTTTTTTGACACTTTCTGATTCTCGAAGACGGTACGACTGATCAAGGTCAAATTTTCAGCACAGATAGAGCATCAAAAATAACGAAATACACGTTTGAGGAAAAAAATTTTAACTAAGTTTTTATGAGGTTTTCAGGAAAACTCTGGTTTTCCAGAGGTCCGCATCCTGATACATTACGACCCTCCTTAAATTTTGTCTGATCGGGCTGAAATTTTTACCACTAATACTTGAGAGTATTCCCCAGAGGTAAAATCGAGTGTTTTCGTTTTTGATGTTCCTACTCGGAGTTACAGGGTCGCGAAAGCCAAGACCCGAAACACAAACTCAAATCTTGGCGTATTTTTCTTATAAAAAAAAAGGAAGTGAGATTTTTGGAAATCCTTAAATTTACCTCTGAGGAATAGTGTTGAGTATCTATAAACAAAATTTCAGCCCAATCGGACAAAATTTAAGGGGGATCGTAATGTATCAGGATGCGGACCTCTGGAAAACCAGAGTTTTCCTGAAAACCCCATAAAAACTTAATTTAAATTTTTTTCCTCGAACAT